GGATTACAGGTGTGAGCCACTGGCAACCAGTCAAATGGTCATCTTATTCATCGGACTTTGACAGAGTCTCAGCAGAATTTGTCGACTAACATTTATTGAGCACTCATTATGTACCAGGCACTGTGCTAAGCACTTTATATGCTAATTCTCTCAACAACTCTATGATGTAGTCCTACAATTATCACTTTTTTATGGATGATTACAAAATAAGCTCTAGATAAATTTAATTGCCCAGGGCACACAGTTGAAAAATGGAGGAACTGAGAGTCAAACCCAGGTGTGTGAGTCTAGAGTCTGAATCAACAATGAGCTCTGCTGAAGAAAAATTGCATGAGGTGGCACCAACAGAAGCAGATGGCTGTTGCTCTAATGGATGAACACAGACTACTCATCTCAAGGATGAAGAATACCAACCTACTATGGCATCCTCCCAATATATAATGGGTCACAGATGCCAAAAGGCATCCTCTGCAAGCCAAGCCAATAGCTCAGGTTAGAGATCATAAAGTCATGTCATGAGAAACAGAGGTTACTTGTTTCTACAGCTGGATAATATTAAACCAACTGCATGAGATCATTTGGTTTATTATTAATCACTTAAAGTGCCAGGAGATAACCAAATACATAGCGCACATAAAGTGAACCAGTACCAATTTAGTTTCAAATTTGGGCAGTGCTCCCCAGTTGCTTCCATTTCTAATTAATTTCCATGAGTACTAGTAAAACAAAGGGCTGAACAGTAAATGACAAAATTTAAAATGAAAACCAAAAAACCTGTTCTGTGTCTTATCACTGGAAAGCTACTTATGGAAAATCGCTGCATCAAAATAGAACTTAACAGTCAAGTCCATCTTTTCATCCTCTGGGAAACAGCTCACCTATAGCAGCCCCATCAAATAACATCCAGCTTCCACCTGCAATCCCAGCCCTGTACACTCTCCATGGCAAAACCATCTCACCATTAAGAAGCCTCACGGACTGATGCTCTTCCTCTTACTTAGGCGAAATTTGCTTTTCTGTAACTGACACTGGTCCTCATTTTATCTTTGGAGATTTCCCCTACCTTCTGATAGTCTTCCAACATTGGGAAACATCACGTTTTCTTCCTGAACATTTCTTTACTGTAGGTTAACATTCAAATCACCCTTGACCATAGGCAAGGGTATCAGTATTTTCCCAAAAGCTGACTATCTAAAACTTCAGAAAAAATCTGATGAGTCCACATAAAGAGGGGGCTATTCCTGCAGATGTTGAGGATGCTAGCATTCTTTACATATGAAGACTTTACTGGTTCCCTTGGCATTTGTATTATATTGTGGGTTCATTCTGAGCTTGTAGCTAATGAAAACCTCTAGATTTTTTTCTCACTGTTCTTGTTGAACAAGGTGAACTCCCAATCTGTGTAACTGACTAAAAATGTGTGTTCATGAGATAAATTATTTTTGCTAGTTATGATCCCAACAGGATCAGTATGAAACTGGTGGAAAGTCAATTTTTACCACCTTTATGAAAATTACATATTTTCTTGGGATCGTCTGGCACATGCAATCCAAAAAACAATTTATTACTTACTCATTAGCATTCAAGCTAGCTGTGGCTCTGATGATCATGTAGCAGAGTGTGAGAGCACTGAGGAGGCCAAAACTGGCAATAATAAACCATTCTTCTGTTGACAAAGGAAAGGGAGGAAATCACTCTGGGGAGAAGATTTAAGTCAAATCGATGTCAACACTTCCCTCAAATGCAACGAAGCAGACGTCAACGGAGGTGTAAGCCAAGACTGGCTCAAGGAAGTGAAGCAGGAGGAGGTTTGCCAGAGAGCTACTAACTGAAGAAGGTTAGTGGAAGTACTGATAAAAGCTGAAAGGAGAAAGGAAAGCATGGCCCAATCATTTCTTCCAGTTTAGGTCCTCAGGTATGTGAGGTGTATGGCCACCAAAAAGCGTGTAAGAAAAATATGTATGTAAAATTACATATGGACATAGGTATATCATTGTTAATGTAAATGGCAATAGAGTAACAATACTTACAACCATCTTTAAAATTTCTTTTTACCATTTTTGCATAGTTGTATCACTCACTCTTAGTAAAGACTCAGAAAATGGAGTAGTGGTTCTCAAAGGTCTTTAGAGTACTTCAAGCAGCCTACAAGCTGGCCTTCCATGGCATTCATGTCTATGTTCTTATGCATTGGTTTACTTAGGATATTTACATTAAAAGGACATTTCACTAGTATCTCAAGAAAATAAGTTCATTACCTCACAGTAGGGATGCAACACAGTTCTTTTTTTTTCCATAGTGCTGGAGATCGAGTAGCCAAAGGTCTTGTGCAAGCTAGGTAAATGCTCTATCACTGAGCTACATTCCCAGCTTCTCTTCCCTTTTTTATTCTAGTGTTTCTCTCTCTTAACTCTCTTTATTCCCACCCTCCTTACCTCCCTTCTCTATACTGAGAACTTTTACAGGTTCTTAGGTTTTTCAACAACCTAAGAACCCATCTGACTTGCTCAGAAATCTTAACTATTTAACAGTATACTCTAACTAGAGCTGGTTTAACAAAGTAATACTCAGTTAAACTTCCTCTACATCTGTAATAAGGCAGAGAAGAAGTATTTCCACCTGGAAAAAAGTTGCATTGCTTCATCTGGGTTTCTTATTTATTTACTTATTTTGATGGTACTAAGAGTTTGAACTCAGGGCCTTGAGTTTGCTAGGTAAATGCTCTGCCACTTGAGCCATACAGCTGTTAATCTGGACTTTATGATTGCTTAAATTGCATGCAAACCTGTGTGTGCATAGCCATTTTTCTAGAAAAGGGTTAATGTACTTTCATTTGAAAGGTGATGACCTTCAAAAGGTTAAGAAGAATTGTTCTTCAGGATTTCAGGATGCTGAATTTGTTCTATGCTGGCCTTGTTATATTATTAGAATGCTTATCAAATTCTTTCTTTTTAAATAAAAGTGTAGCCATTGCCTCTTAGATTACAATTGTCCTCATTACTAGATTAAAGCTTTTTATTTAAGTTAAAAAATGAGCATTCAAAAATTCATGTAAAATCCATCATTTTAATCTATATACATTTTAAGTTAGGACAGATGTACACTAGTATTTTAAAAATCAAAGAGATGAATAGTTAATCAACAGTAAGGAGCTTAATACATTTTTTTCTTTTGAGACGTTTAAATTTTTATATTTTTGCAGTACTGCTGTTTGAACAGAGGGCCTCACATGTGCTAAGCATACACTCTACCACTGAGCTATATGCCCAGGCCATCCTCTTAAGAGACTTTTGTATGTGATAAGCAGACTAACACAAAGAACTTCAATTATGTCTATAATTTGAATACACATATGCATTTGTGTCTTTGTGTATCTGAGATTTCACTTATAAAAATTAGAAACCAAAGAAAAGTACACCATCACAGTAATACCCAATAGGCTTAGAAGTATTTTAGCAGCAATCCACTACAGCTTAGGCTCTAGTCACCTTTGTCCTCCCCCTGCTTATTTAGCACAGTGCCTTGCACACAGGGAGTGCTGGTTGAATATACTGTAGTTGCTTATGGTGCAACAGGACTTTGGAAGGAAAAGTAGAGGTAACACGAATTTATTCATTGGCATCATTAGTAAATTCTGCTAAAGATGTTTAATCTGGTATATGAATTATTTTTTTTATCATCAAGACCATAAGATTTTGAAGGGACATCTCCACATAAAATATAATGAGGCCTATACTTAATGTAGTAGTAGGTGCTCAATAAATGTTGGATTGATGAGGAGCTTACAGAAACTCATTAATAAACAACATTCATCTCCTTTATTCCTACTAGACCAACTTTCATTAAACCTTAAGGCTAAAGTTGGAAAAACATGAAATGCTGCTAAAACAATCACTGGGAAATGGTTAGAAATGAGTCAAACTATACCAAAGAATAGTTTTATTTATATCGTAACTAAATGAAGGTTCTTGAAGGTTCAGACAACAGATAAAAAACGTGGGAAATCCTTTTCCCATGGTAATCTCTGGTTGGTTAAAAACATGTATATTTCAATTAAGCAGACCATATAAGTCTTAACATATAAAGAGAAAACTATTCTGTAAAACTACTTTTCCTGTTTTACTGACTACCCCTTTGGTAAGCAGAGTCCCATCAGCTTCAGGGTTTGAAGCTCTAGGCAAGCAACAGCATAAATCAGAAAAGGCAGCACCAGAATGGCAACCAGAGATGGGTGAAAGGTTGTTAGATGGAAATTGCACGCAAAGAATGGAATTGAAGAGCTGGCATGTTACAGGGTGAATGTCTACAAATTCACACACACGCGATCAGCCCACTCAAGCTGTACATAGGCATCACCCTCAAAACACTCAGTACATTTCTCTGATTGCCAACAGTTCAACAGTCAAGACATTCATAACTAGCCCAGAATACTTTTTTAGGTGGATTACCTTTTATGGTGGATTACCATCTCAAGTACTATTATACAAGTTAAGTGTCAAGAGACCAAACTTCCATAAAAAGTGAAGATAAAGTCAGCAACAACAAGCCATCTCAACTGAAGTTGTGAATTTTTAGGTTCAAATTCTAGGTCAGTTTTTCACTAAGTTGCCTGTAGCCAGGGAGATCAAGAGCATCAGTGCTGAGCTGTACAACACACTAGCACTGCTGCTGTCAACTGACATCACATTCCAATGTCTCCTTTTAAAATGCCTGTTTGCATGCAATGATTTCAAAACAAGGTTTCTAAAGTAACTATTAAGTCATCCCTCTGCATGACTACTCATCAAATGCAGCTATTCCTATCCTTACACACAAATACACAAGCTCCTTATATAAACAAGGTTTCATTATTACTAATATCTACTTTAACAAAAGTACACATTACTTTCTTGGTTACAAAGTTGCTGACCCAGGTGGCCTCAACTTAGCCCTTGACAGTCACTGCAGGCCCAACATAAGCAGCAATGCTGCCCTGTGCCTGGGCAAAGGGTCCCACTTACTTGTTACTGCAATGTTGATTTCTCCTGTTCTAGGAGTGAGCTCCCCATCCTGAGGAAGAGGTGATATTCCCGAAGTTCGCAGGGGCTCAAGGCCAAGGGAGTTGTCGCTGGTGAGGTCACCTAGGGCTGATCTTCGGTTAACTGCTTGGGTTCTGGTGAGCCTTTCCATATCAAATGCTACATGATCAGTGCATGGTAGATTTGGCTGCAAAAATTTCCAGATTAAAAATATTATAAGAACAATTATTTTCTTTCATAACAATCTTCTCTCATATAATCCTAAATGTTTGGTACTCATTGCAAGGGATTTATTGCATTTTTTCCCACAATTTCTTCTAATTTCCCTGTCCATCTATCTTTTCTACTCTCACCTAACAGGTTTTCTTCAAAATGGCCAGCTGACCTCCTGAAGATGATACAAAGGAAAATCAAAATCCACTGGAAAACTGAGAAAACTGACCACTGTAACTTGGTAAAGAAATGACAACATTTTGTGGACATGGTCACAGGCAAGGGAGTTATATCATTATTATAAAGCTGACAAATGTTCAGTTTAAAAAAATAAACTGCATTATTTTGGTGAAAGTTAAATGTTAATGTTGAAGGCCAGCAGGTGACATAAAACACCTCTGTCATCCTATTAACTTCTCTTAAATGCTCCATTTACTGGGTGTTCAGCTTTTTTTTTAGTATCTTCTATCTTTAAACACATAAAACACACAGCTATGAGCTGATCAAATTTGAGAAGACCCAATCCTGAAGGAGAGGTGTACAGCTGTTTGGGTCAAAGTCTACCAATTAAAAAGGGTATAAAAGCCTTCTGATTTAACAATATGAATCATCTAGCTTCCCTAGCAACTTCCAGCTCTTTGGCCTGCAGTAGGCAGCATGCGAGAAGCAGAGTTGTGAAAGGCAGATGAGAGAAGTTTGTATAGAGAGAAATGACAGTCAATCAAACCCCAGAACCAATGGCTTCCAGGGCAAAAGAATGCCATTTTGGATCATCCCAAAGCTCTGTTTTTGTTTTGTTTTTGAAAATTACAGCATAGTATAATAAGTAATGTTTAAAATGATAGGGGAGGTTTATTATACTTAAAAATTATGATAGCTGAATATATTTCTAAAGGATTTTTATTAAAAAAAGGGAAGGTATTAGCACTTGAAAAGCACGTGACTGGAGGCAATGACAGTGTGTTAAGTTAATATTTTCAAATTGTCTACTAAATGTCAGGCAAGATGAAAGGCACACTATATTAAAACAATCTCACATGGGGGTGACTTGTCCTGTCAGGAGACATTTGGCAATGTTGGGAGACTTTTTTGTTGTTGTTAAGAGATGGGTTCTTGCTGGGTGCAGTGACTCAAGCCTGTAATCCTAACCACTTGGGAGGCAGAGATTGGGAGGACTGTGGTTTGAGGTTAACCCATGCAAAAACAATTCAAAAGACCCTATCTCTACAATGGCTGAGTACAGCAGTACCCACCTATCATCCCAGGTACACAGGAAAGCACAAATAGGAGGACAGCAGCCCAGGCTGGTCTAGACATAAAGTGAGACCTTATCTCAAAAATAACCAATGCTAGTGGAATGGCTCAAATGGAGAGGCCCTAAATTCAACCATCATTACTCCAAAAAAAAAAGAGAGAGAGAGGAGGAAGGGAAGAGGGGGAGGGAAAGGGAGAGATGGTGGGGGGGAAGAGAAAGAGAAAGAGAGAGAGAGAGAGAGAGAGAGAGATAGCGAGAGAGATTTTCTTATGTTGCCCAGGCTGGTTTTAAACTCAAGTAATTCTCCTGCCTCAGCCTCCTAAGTAGCAGTAAGTAGCCGGGGCCCCCACTTGACTTTCTGGACACATTTTTGACTGTTTTGACTGGGAAATAATGCTATTGGATTTAGGAGTAGGGGCTAGGGATGCTACTGCAGTCTGCAATGCACAGGGCAGACTGTTATCTACTTATCTAGTGCAAAAGTGTCATTGAGGCCAAATGGAGAAATCCTGTGTTAAACTACATCATTACTGACATGCTCTCTGGAGACAGAATAAATTGGGTACTATGCCATTCACTGTGCTTAAACTGTGATTTGATAGTATGTATAAAACAGGACTACTTTGATCTTCTTTGGGTTGAAAAGCTAATATGCAAGGTTCATCTGCTGGACCAAATTCAACCTTTTGTTCCATAAGGAAACCATTCATTTATTATTTTTTTGAGATCAGAAAGTATTTTATTTTCCTTTATAAAGCACAACTCTAGGTATGTAATTCTCTTGAGCAAGGAAAGCAAAGAAGTGTCCAAAGTTCTCATTCAGTGTTGACCTGGCTCTTCTCACAGCTGACCTCTATGCAGCACACCTGGTTAACACCCTCGCCAGGTTGTTCATGGTTCCCCAGGGTCGTTGGTCACCATCTGCCTTCACTGCTTATGATTTACCAACACCCAAGAGACCAAAGACAAACTTAAGAGGAATGAACGAAAGTGATGACATAATTTTACTTTATGCCAAATGCAGAAAAAATTACTATTGGATCCAAGTCAAGACTATATTCTGTATTTGTTGTTGTTTTGCCCAACAGAAGGACATGTTTAAAACTAGACTAGTACAGGTATTAATCTTCTTTTCTAGAGTTTCTTGAGTATGTAAGACTTTGAAGTAATCTGGAAGAAAGGCATCATTACACTAACAAGGCTATCTGGCAAAGAAAGCTAGGGTATTCTTGGGAGATTTAATCACATGACCTATTATACCAATTGTAGTACATTATACTATACAAAAGTAGTAACAAAATAGGAAACATACCACAATCCCCAGGGCCTTCAAAATATTAAGTTTGCACATAGGACAGGTACAGTGTTCACTAAGCCAGGGATCCACGCACGATTTGTGGAAAACATGCCTATAAAATAATGGAAATTATGTCATAAATTATATACTGCAAAACTACTAAGTCAAAATGGAAAGAAATACAATTTTAATCTGTTTTTCCTCTTTTCAGCACATTTTCAGTTCTGAAGAGACAAATATTAGGGAACTATTATAATATAGCTTGCAGAAAATCTCCTGAATCCAACCTTATATATTAGCAGCACTATATAATGAGAACTAATAAAGATATGACTGTTTTTGGTTTTGCAGTGCTGGAGATCCAACCCAGGGCCTTGTACATGCTAGGCAAGACCTCTATTACTGAGCTATATCTGCAGCCACCCTCACCAAACCTTTTTTTTCTTTTTAAAGAGACAGAATCTCACTGTGTTGCCAAGACTGGCCTCAAACTCTTGGGCACAAGCCTTCTGAGTAGTTGGGACTACTAGGAATTAGACTTTTTATTTTACCAAATTTCAAAAAAAAAAAAAAAAAGAAAAAAAGGACTTGAGGAAACTTAGAAGATATATTAAGAATAAAAATAATTATACCTTATAAACTAGTTATGCCTTCCATAACACAGACAAATGAAATTTCACAAAAATAATTAAGTCAAGGTTAAATAAAAAGAGTTCTCTGTCAACCTGTGTCAAATATTTGTAAAAGTCACAGAGCAGCTGGAACTGTTTTAGGGAGTTAATTGTACTGAAGAATCAAGTAACACTTAGCTAGCAATTTTCAGCTGAAGTATCAAAGGTGGGTAGGAATGGGTGATTTTCTCTCATATTTAGGAGAACAGAAAGTCACATCCTCGTGATGGAAATAAGTCATTCCTAGAAAAGGAACTTCTGCCCTTTGAAAGGGAGAAAAGACTGAGGGAGCTGTAGAAATTATTCCTCAAACTCAAGCAGTTGTGCACAAGGCTCTGAGAAGCTGCAACCAAGTCTGACAGAAGCAGCCCAGGAGTTCTGGCCAAACCAGGAAGGAGTGGACCAACAAAAATGTTCAAGGCACTTTTGAAAGAAATGCAACAATTTGAGTTTGGTATAAAAGAAAATTTGAGATACACCATGGTGTATGCTCACTATTAATTTATAATTTAATGTTTTGATTGCTGTTTGAAGAATGAAGGTTCTATTTTAAAAAAGCAAGAGGTCTAGAAAACTCAAGTTTTTATTGAGATTTGGGATAAACATTCATGGGTACAATATAGGGTCAATACAGAGTACCCACTCATTACCACTTGATGGCCTTAAAGCCATTTTTTGGGGGAATAAGAATAAAGTCCTTAAAGTCTAAATTTATCAGTCTAGTCCAAAACATGTAGCTAATGCATTTATTCAGAACCTCATCATCCTGAAGACTTTTCTTTAAACCTCAAGGTTTTTACTTATGGGATGGGAAGCCATTAATCTATGGGCAATACCTAAATTAATTTAGAATACGTAAGGTCTCATGTCCACTTCTTTTTACTTGTATCAACATATGAAGGTTCCTTACTGCAGTGCTCAACCAAAAGGGGTATCCCCTGCGTACCATCCAGCAGTACTCAACTATGCCATGGTTGGCTGTAATTGAACATAAACTAGAACAAGGCTTCTTAACCCTTTTGCAGGACACAGAAACCTTTAGTCTGATCTAAGTTGTAGAATCTCCTCCTAACACTTGCATACATATCTTGCATACATCTTGGGGAAGCTTATGAACATCTGAGGGTTTGGCTAGTGCTGGGAGGGGCTGGAGTGGTTAGGAAGGTGCCCCAGGTCAGTTCTGCAAATGGAGGACAATGGGATTTGGAGGGAAGAGGGTATGTTATCTCTGACCAGGGCCACTTTGGTGCTAGAGTGGGAGGAATGCAGGTGGGGCAGGAGCAGCTAAATTTAACCAGCTGTTGGTAGAAACCCTGTTTTAAGCAAGCAGCAGCTGCCTGGGGGTAAACAGTGGGTTGGCTGTGGTACTCTCTGTTCTGGCCAGTGATTTTGCTTTCCTATTACTGGTTGTTCAGAAAGAACAAAATGGTGTATTTAATTTCTAAAGTTGCTGCATGAGTTGAAGGTCCTCAGTCTATCTGTTCCCTTAACCTTAAGTGAGTTGTAAGTGGACTTGTCTTATGTTGGGGTTTTTAAGTAATTGTTTCCTTGCAGTTTGTTGATCTAAAAGAAAAAGTACCCCACTCCACCAGACAATATTAATGCCTCTATGTTGTGGGGTATTGTAGTGAAAGACAACAAAAACTAACTGGCTCTCTAGGGACAAATTAAGACTATCCCCCTTCCCTAGCTAACTCAAAATCTGAAAGAAACATTTATTTTCTTCAAAAAATATGTTCCTTTTGGCTATCTGCCCTTCACCTGCACCCTAGGCAACTACCCTGCCCCTAAACTCTCCTTCCTCTGACCTAGGAATGATCTTTCCACATTCCCCACCAGCCCAGTTTCTGTGCATCTCACCCTGGATCTTCAGTCTCTGCTTCTCACAGCACATCCCTTGCTTCTGAATACAAAGCTGAGCACTTGTACTCTGCACTCACCAGTCTTGACACAAGTCCCCACAAGTCCTGTCACTACCATCATCTTGTTGTCTTCTCTCCTTCAGCACCCCTTCTCTTCACCCTCTTGCTTCTGCCTCCTTAGCTTTACTGACTCACCATACCCACTGTGGCCTTTCCCTTCTTTCTAGACAAAGTTCTGCTATAACTACTGGAGGCTCAACTAGCCATCCTTTTTGCCTCCCAGCTGTCTTACCTGAAGAGATGTGGGACAGGGAAAAAAGCCTCTCATGAGGCTGTCTGGAGCAATAAATGTAAACTGCCATGTGGAATGTTAAGGTTACTTTGCCTGTTTAACCATACCTTTCATTCACTCAGGTTAAACAGGCAAAGTAACCTTAACATTCCACATGGCATCCCAATAAATGGGGAGACCGCTTCTGCAGCAAGCTTTCGGGTCCCAGCACATCCAGTGCTATCCTTTCTCACTAGCTGGAGGGTGCACCACAGAAAGCCAGTGACCTCGGAAGGTGGCACCTGGGACAAGAAACCCTTTTCCATTGTTATGAAAGACTCAAATGGTGAAAATACACACAAAAGCCGAAAAGGACCTGGTTCATTTAGGGCTGAGTAGTGTACTGGGACAGAAAGTGGGTGATGTGTTGACAAATAGTGAAACGTGAAAAGGACAAGCATAGCAGAACTTTAACCAAACAGTCCTTTATTCCTGTAAGAAATACTTTGGGATACAGAATGTGAAATGTACAGAACAAAACCAGTAATACTGAAATGGCAGGGCCCTTCTCTTTCCTACTTCCCACTGGCCATGAACTAGAGAGGTCAGAAAAACCTCGGGGCTGGTGCGAGGAGTCTACCCTGGAAGTGAGTTGTTTTCACAGCTCTGCAGCTTCTGGGTGCCATGTTAAGGACCTGGCAAACATAAAAGGATCCAAGATTATTAAAGGTCAGAGACAAGAACTCCTTCCCCTATCCAGGACTGGCAACAGATGCTGTTTGTTAGCTGCCCCTCCTTTGTGTGGGGGGGGTGATCATAGCAATTCAGCCAGTTGGCAGCCAGCTGACTGACCCATTTTAACTCCCAAGCTGGCATCCTAAACATATGTTTATCCAAAAGAGGATTTTTACCTACTAAAAGTTTGTGGCTAACCTTTAAAAAAGGTGACTGTTTCTCAGTTTCTAAGACATGCTGGCTAATATCCAAAGGATGATCAACTGTAATCAACTAATATGATCAGGAGGTCCTAAAACAATGCCAACTGCCATCTGTCCACAATAAATTAGTGTGACAGAGGATGAAAAGTAAAGGTCATGCAGCAAAAAGTCGGCAATCCATAAAAGGTCTGATAGCCATCAACAGAAAAGCTTAATTGAGAATCCAGATAGGCTTCTTAAAAATGAAAGACAGATGGACACAAAGCATCTGGCTGTCATCTTCTTTTACTGAGGTGGAGGGGCAGTGAGTACAGATCCTGCCAAAAGCTGGCTGTGAAGGAGAGAGGGTGCAGGGTGATATGTAGAGGTGATGGGTTTGAAAGAGAGCTTTAAAAAACTGGAATAGGAAATACTTGAGCATGATTAAGTCCTGATGAGCAGACACAGAACAAAATGGAGGGAAAAAATAGTCAATAGAGCAAGGTCACACAAAGGGAAAGAGCTAGCAGGCAGAGGCTCAGGTAGAAAGAGCAGCATAGACTGCAGGAGGTGCAGGGTGGGTATGGAGGCAGGCACATCTGAAGGTCTGGGGATAGGAAGTTTAAGGAATTCCCAAACCACTGTTTTCTCTATGAAGTTGATGGTGACATTTACTCTACTGAAAGTGAGGCGTGCTGGGTGCCGGTGGCTCACACCTGTAGTCCTAGCTACTCAGGAGGCAGAGATCAGGAGGATCACAGTTCGAAGCCAGCCTAGGCAAATAGTTTGTGAGCCCCTATCTCAAAAAAAAACCCATTTATGAAAAATAGGGCTGGTGGAGTGGCTTAAGGTGAAGGCCCTGAGTTCAAGCCCCAGGGCAAAACAAAAAAAAAAAAAAAAAAAAGAAGAAGAAAAGTGAAGAGCATTGCGGGTGGGGGGAAGAGGAAGGTAAGGTATTTAGGATGAAAGAAAACACTTGGAAGCATTGCTGTGATGAACAGGAAAGGCTAGCCAGGACAGTAGAAGGGCTCTGGCAGTACTTGATGCCTGGCTAGGAATGGAGCCCTGTCTGCCAGGTCTGTTCAAAGCCCTATTGGCAGCTAGTGAGAGGAAGAGCTGCTCAGCGATGTGAGATAAAGGAAGCAGGCCCAGGTTCAAAGACAAAGTAAAGGTATCTTAGGCAGAAGGACTACTAAGCAGAAGCATGAGGTAAGAGTTAATACAAAGGTACCTGAGAGGCATCAACTGGAAATAAGAAGCTTGGAGAAGATTTAGGATAAAGAGGAACATTCATATGTAGATATTCTCTAGGTCCTATAGATCAATGATTATCATCTGGGGACATTTTTCACTTTAAAAACTGAGTAGTGTGGATGCTTTTGGTGTCTAGTGGGTAAAGTTAAAGGATATTGTGAAATATCCTGTGATGCTCAAGGCAGCATTTTCTCCCATCCCCTTTTCCAAACAAAGAATTATCTGATCCCAGATGTCAATAGTGCTAAGACTGAGAACCTTTGCTGTAGGTCAAAGGTTGTTCCAAAATGTTGCTCAATGTAAAAAGTTAATTTTTACTGCACCCGAGGATCACTGGTGTTACCATTTCAGTGAGACAAAACGTTCTGCTGAGCAGGTCAAGCCATGTAGTTAGAGAAAGCTGCAACTTGCTGAGATTTGACAGGTAAGAGTAACTGACAACAGCTGGCTCCAAAGCAACATAAGAGGTCTCACACAGGGCCGGGCACTGGTGGCTCACGCCTGTAATCCTAGGTACTCAAGAGGCAGCGATCAGGAGGATCACAGTTCGAAGCCAGCTGGTGCAAACAGACCGGGCTGGCTTTGAGACCCTATCTCGAAAAACCTTATTATAAAAAATCTGGTCAGTGGAGTGGCTCAAGATGAGGGCCCTGAGTTCAAGCCCCAGTATTAAAAAAAAAACAAGTCTGACACACAGGGCAGTAAGCATGTCTATTCAAAAATAAGGACCAACTATATAACTGAACAGTGCCATAACTAGGGGTACAAAGAAATTCCGTTAAGTCTGCCAAAATTTCTAAAATTCAAAAGCAGACCACAATCATGAAGGCTGAGAATAAGTTCTCTAGTTTCAGTTGCAGAAACAGTGAATATCAACCAAAGTTTTGGGCCTCAACGGAGGGACTGGCCTTGGAGCATGAGAATCACTCAGGAACTTATTATGAACAATATGTTGGACTTTTCCACTTGGGTGTTTCTGAAAACTCTCTTACTGATCCTGATGTGTATGTAGTCAGGTTTGGAAAGGTCTGGGTTAAATTGAGAAAAAAAGAGAAATCAGAATGAAACTGTGGAAAAGCCAAGGCTTTAGGGATAGAGAGAATGAGAGCAAGTTTCCCAGAATCATTTATTTTAGGCTGAGACTTCCCTGAGGAAGACACTCTCATTTTAGTAATAACCGTGAATGGCTGCTCCCCTACCCAATTAGGTACCAGATGGTTCCAGAGGATCCTGGGCTCAGATAGGAAGACAGACTTTGTAAAGTCTTGGCTTCTTCCTGGTTAAAGCAGGCATCTGTTGATTATGCTTTATAATATATCCTACTGATCCTTTTCCTGATTTGATTTGTGTATGTATTTCCTTTAGTCTCATGTTTTTAGATTATAAATGACTATAAGTGAGGGAAAATGGTCATTATATAATTTAATTTTCTATAGAATGGCTTACATTTAGTTTGATAGATTTTCTTTTTTATGTAAACTAGAATGATTTGCCTAGAATCTTGGATTTCTATTTCAGTATTCAGAGTTCTTCTTAAGTTCTATGATTTAAAGACATACAAACAAACAGATCTTCCTAGGCTCAGAGTAGATCACTCTGTGAATAAATAAAATAGAACCAGTAGCCTCATGGAGGTAACTATTCATAATTATTTCACCAATTCACATGTATTATAGGCTGAGTTATATCTTCTAAAGAAGAGAGAGGAGAAGAAAGGAAAAGTCTTTGATTCTAGGTTTTTCACTAGGTGATTTTATATTTTGCTAGTTGACATTTACAATCATGTATCTTAATATTTCCCATTTCCTAGCTTGGGATAGGACCATGTTGGAAATCAACATGCTTATTAAGACAATTTGCTCTTTTCAGGCATCAAAGTTCCTGTGGACACTCTCCTTCTGGAGGGAGGTATGTGGTCCTATGCAAGGAGTGTTGACATTAAAAGTAGCCCTCTGGCATTTCTGAATGGTAGGAACCTGAAATCTACTATTGGCTCCACTGTCCTTTACTATACAATGGTGCTATGGTTTGGGTATGGTTTGAGTTTCCACCAAGGGTCCACTGTGATTAAAGGTTTGGTCTCCACGATGGTGGGGTTGGCAGGTGGTGGAACCTTTGGAGGATGGGATCTAGTGGGAGGTCCTTAATCACTGGAGGTATGAGGTCTTTCTTGTGAGAATCCCTTTTGGTAGTTCTCATAAGAGAGTTGTTACAAAGGAGCAAGCCTGACCTACTCGTCCTCTTATTCTCTGCTCCTTCAAGAGGTACTGCTTGCTCTATATGGGCTTTCACTGTGCTGTGCCACCAGCTGTCTACCCAGAGGCCAAACCAATGGGGTATACCAGATCTGGGACTCTGAACCGCCAAAACTGTGTGTTAAATAAACTTTCTTTTCTTTGTAAGTAGTCTGTGTCAGATTTTTGTCACAGTAACAAAAAACTGACCAATACGTATGAGAGAAAGACTTAGTACAGATTCCTAGAGTTGTAGAACTCTGAGCCAGGTGAATGCATTAGAGTCCCTGATGATGAGCTCTGATTAAAGATGGAGAAAAACAAGAGGTTGTTCCTCCCCTTTCCCCACCTAGCCCAGGAGCTGGGGATCAAACCCAGGGCCTTATACACGCTAGGCAAAGTCTTTACCACTATCTCCCCAGCCCAGAAGACTGTTTTTGAAAGCCAAAGAGCTCACATATAATAGAAACACTTAGGTAACAATTCATCTGGAGGTTGCATCAAATGTTTTTAATGATACATGTGCAATCAGTTCTTGGGAGGCAGCACTGCTCACTATTGACCACAACCTCACAACCTCTCATCAGGAACAATGTGCAGCAGGGCTGTGGCCCGCTATAGTAGCCATTGGTTAGCTGGCTCTCAGAAGCAAGTGGACACCCCCTCTGGAAGGGAAACATACAAATATTAATACCATTCTTTTGAAACAGAGAAAGGCTACATACTTGCAGGGGAGGATCCGAACAACATCATTCTGCTTATAGCTCTCTATGCAGACTGCACAATGATCAAAGTCTGGGTCTGTTTCCTGAAACAAAAAGCATAGGAGCAAAAGTCACATGCTGAAAGTGTACAAGTGAAGATGTAATTATGCCAAGACTGCTTCTATGGCAACTATGGTAAGTGGTTATAAAGTGAAAGTTATTAAGAATAATTTAGTAAGTTTGCATTTGTTCAAGTATTCTGTCCCAAATTATATCTAAGCTAATCTATTTCATCTTAAAATTATTTTACAATCAATACTAAATCTGTTTATAGCATGTCTTAGAAAAAGTCAGAATTCTAATGATTTTCAAGATTCACACTGGCTATCACCTTGAACCATCATGTCTCCTCCCATGACTTCCACTGCATTACCGAGTTGTCTGAATAGGTTTTACTGTATACCCTACAAAATCTGGGTCTTCATAAAGAAGCTCACATTCTCAATCACCTCTTTAAGTATGGGCACAAAGGATGGTTCCCATAGTAGAACATTATCTAGAGACCCACTCTAAGTACAGGAGCTGTACTTTTGATCACAGATATGGGATATGGAAGAGTCATTTGCTCAACTCAAGTCAGCCTCGTGTTTGGTCACCAGGTTAACTGATTTCCTTCCTCCTCAGGGCTGAGGAGGGTTCTACCTGACTTATCAAAAACCACAGCACATGAGCAACCCAAACTTGGGAAGGTACAACTATCTGCTGTGTCATTGCCATTTGGACTAAAACTCAGTGGGTAATTCTTGGCAGGTCTAGGAGATACAAACTGACAAGATGGGGTGGCTTTAATAATTACAGAAATGACTGTTTTGTGCTAGCCTTGGGGTACAGATAGGTAGGTTATCTCACCTCTAGGAATTTCAGATTAAAGGCAGCTGAAGGTCACCAGGTTAAGAAAGCATACTGGTTACCACTCCTCTGGGGTTAAGTGTAGCTGTTTTAATGTAGCTTGTAATTTCTGCAAGTGACTCCTTTTTCTTTCCTAAACTAAGCCCACTGAGAGTGTCTTTACCTCTGGAGCTGTGTCAAGGGCAACTAGATATGGTAGTGTCAAGGTAATGAGAACAAGAATGGGTAAAGTCCATGAACGTGGTAGAACTTAAGAAGATGAAGAATCATCTGAAATCATCCTTTTCAGAACTTTCTGCTAAAATGTTAAGTGTTGGACGTGGGGTAGGAGACAGTTTTCATTTTATTCCTTTAGAGAAGCAAATTTTTCATCCTCGGTATTCTTGAATATACTGAATGTAGGAACTAACCTTAAGGTGCTGTTTTGCACTTAGTGAGGCCAAGCTAGGGTCTACTATAACTTGAGCTCTGTCTGACTGGGAGATTCTAGTTTACAGTCTCAGTCATAGCCTTCGATGCCCGTAAGCATTAGGCCCAACTCTGACAAATTGCATTCCTCTTCTTTGAAAGTGTTAGAGAACATTTTGTTAACTGAAATGCCCTAGAATTGTATGTCTTCAGTTCTCCATTTAACTTGTTATAAAACAAAAACCAAAAGAGATGCTGCAAAATCACAAGAAATATAAGAAGAAAACGCACATCTCCTAGCCTTTATGTACCAATAGTTCTACTAGAATTCTTGGAAGATGTATGCTAGGTTTTAGCAGAAGAAAACTATGAAAAATACAGCTAGAAAAACTGTAAGTAGTCTAGTGATGCTACCTACTAATGGCAGAGCATTTGAAGTCCAGGAGAGTCAGAGGGCTGACTGAAGGGCTTCCAGATAACAGGCATAGTAAGAATAATACTTCCAAGAGAAAGTAAAGTTATTTCATTACTGTACCTTATCGCCTTTTTTTACTGTTCTGGTTGTCAATTTACTGATGGCTTTCTTGGCTGCATCTCCAAGACGACGCTATGAAAATGGCAAATAAAAAGACATTAAGTTTAAGATATCTTTTTTTTTTTTTCATTTTTCTTTTATTATTCATATGTGCATACAAGGCTTGGTTCATTTCTCCCCCCTGCCCCCACCCCCTCCCTTACCACCCACTTCGCCCCCTCCCTCTCCCCCCCCTCAATACCCAGCAGAAACTATTTTGCCCTTATTTCTAATTTTGTTGTAGAGAGAGTATAAGCAATAATAGGAAGGAACAAGGGTTTTTGCTGGTTGAGATAAGGATAGCCATACAGGGCATTGACTCACATTGATTTCCTGTGCGTGGGTGTTACCTTCTAGGTTAATTCTTTTTGATCTAACCTTTTCTCTAGTACCTGTTCCCCTTTTCCTATTGGCCTCAGTTGCTTTAAGGTATCTGCTTTAGTTTCTCTGCGTTAAGGGCAACAAATGCTAGCTAGTTTTTTAGGTGTCTTACCTATCCTCACCCCTCCCTTGTGTGCTCTCGCTTTTAGCATGTGCTCATAGTCCAGTCCCCTTGTTGTGTTTGCCCTTGATCTAATGTCCACATATGAGGGAGAACATACGATTTTTGGTCTTTTGGGCCAGGCTAACCTCACTCAGAATGATGTTCTCCAATTCCATCCATTTACCAGCGAATGATAACATAAGTTTAAGATATCTTAATGATGGTCTTCACTTTAAATAATTAACAGTATAAACTCATTATTATTCCACATCACTCTCTACTCTATGTCATATATATAAGCAGACTCTAAAAAGGGAATAAAAAAAAATCAGAGAAACTGGCAGCTATACCATATCTTCTGTATTCTAGTTGAATAAAAAGTCTATATTCAGGTAAAAAAAAAGCCAGGTGTCACAATCACTTTTGCATTTTGTGTTTAATAAACATTATCAAAATGTTTTGCTATCTTTTGATAACTGACTTGTGTGAATCAGGATATAAAGCTCCAAATGCTTTGATTTCTACTTCTCAAAATGTCTCTCTTAATCTGAATCCTATCTACCATACTTTTTTTTTTTTAAACAGACTTATAGAGACTTAAAATAAACTGCATATACTTAGAGGGTGCACTCTGACCTGCACTTAAAATTATACTTTGAGACTCCATGAATCAAAATCTACTTCATGTGCACTTCAGAGCCACTTCCCCTGCTCTAACAGTTTTCCTTTTGTGCTCTAGGGATGATCACTGTTAGGCATATAAATTGTCCCAGTAAAGAAACCTTGAACACTGACATTCTTAGGAGAGCATCAAGTGGAAGCCACACAGTGATGAGCTCTACTTCTGGCTCTGCTACTACCATGCTTGGAAGGTGCATTTATTTACCTTTCCAGGCTGAGTCATTCTCATTTATTTCAGAGGGTTAACTCGGATGATCTCTACATTTTGCCAGATGTAGACAGCAATGCTAGACACAAATAACCCAAAGGTGAAAAAAAAGCAGTGAACCTCTCACTTTTGAGATGCTATCTGAACTGGGGAAATGACCAGTAAACATTATTATATAGGAGATCCTTCCCAGGGTGAAGTGGCAGTAAAAGGAGGTAACCTCATGTATGGGCATGGGACAGAGCAGAGGAGGAATTCTGGGAAGGCTTTGAGGAAATGATGCTGGAGGTAAGACCTGGAAGAATAAGGAGTTCGGTAAGGAAGAGTATGGGATTAGGAAGGGATATTTTGGACAGAGGAATAGTCTAGTAAAGACAAATAGATATGAAGCATAGATATATAAGGAAATTATCCTTCAACGTAACTACACAGTGAGCATGTATTTTATTGCTCAAATCAGAATGCTTTGTGAGTCAGAGTTCACACTGGAATGACAGATACAGACAGACTGTCCCAGGCACACCAAAACAGGGTCACTCTAGATATAACTACATCTTAAACTCTGAGTAGAGTCAGATGCAAAAGCTGAAAGAGTAAGTTGGGAACTGAAACAAGAAAAGACCTCAGAGTCTTTCAGGAGGATTAAAAAAAAATCATAAAAATACAGGAGCGTTTTAGAGGAAATCTAAAAATACAAAAGAGGGAATTTAATGAACATGCATGTATCTATCATCAATATACTCAATATATCATTCATTATACATCATCCACATATCAGCTTCAACTATCAGTATTTACCTATTTTACCATCTATTCTCCCCATTCCCTTTATTGTGTTAAAGATTTCAATGCATGGCATAAGCACCCTAACTTCACCTAATCTTCACTATGCATCTCTAACAGTGGCTTTTGATGCCACTGTCCTTCCTAATACAATGTAACAACAATTAATCAACACTGTCTCTTACTCAGACAATACTACAATTTCCCCATCTGTCTGCAGAATATCTTTTGACAAATGACTTGTGTGAATCAGGATATAAAGCTTCAAATGCTTTGGTTTCTACTTCTCAAATGTCTCTCTTTATCTGAATCCTATCTACCATACTTTTTTTTTTAAACAGCTATATGGAGACTTAAAATAAACTGCATATACTTAGAGGGTGCACTCTGACCTGCACTTAAAATTATACTTTGAAACTCCATGAATCTGAAGCTGACACTTTTAATGTACTGCTTTAGTGGCCTCTAAATTTTGATGCATTGTGTTTTTAATTTCATTGAGTTCAAATGGTTTTCTAATTTCCCTTTTGATTTGTTTTTTCTCCTATGGATGATTTGAAAGTTAATTTAAAAATATTTGGAATTTTTTCAGAGATCTTTTTGTAACTGATTTCTTATTTAATTTCAAATGATCAGAGAACATTACCTTGTATGAACTTAAATCCTTTTAAACTTATTGAGACTTGTTTTATGGTCTAGAGCACATGTCATAAGAAATATATATTGTGCTTTTGTTAGAATTTTCTACAAATGTCAGTGGGATCAAGTCAATTGATCATTTTAAGTCTTTTGTAGACTGATTTTCTGTCTACGTACTCTTCTCACTATTGAGAAAGGTAGAAAAATATGACTATAATTGTGGGGTTATTTTTCACTACAGTTTGATCAGTTCTCACTGGATGGTTCTGAAGCATTGTTACCAGTGCATTTAGGATCGTAATACCCTCTTTCTGAAATGACTATTAACAAATGACTTTTATCCCTGGCAAAATACTGGCCCTGAAATCTACTCTGGTATTAATGTAGCCACTTCGACTTTAATTTGTTTTAGTATGGCATAGCTTTTTCATCCTTTTAACCTATTTGAATTTCTGTAATTTACTTATTTAGGCAAGCACTATACTACTGAGCTACATCCCCTGCCTATATATTTTTATATTTAAAGTGGGTTTCTTGTAGGCAGCACTTGGATGGGTCTTGCTCTTCTTTTATTTTTTTTTTAGATATTTGAAATACAACTTCATTCTGATTCTAAACGAAAAGGAATGGGAATGACAGTAACAACAAGATTTCACCACTGAATGTTGTGATGTGACTTAGCAGTCTTATCTTTGAAACTCAAGACGGAAACAACTGCGTTCCAAACAGCTAAATATGCAGCTCCAAAAAACGAAGGTTTTTTTAACTGCCACATTCATTCCGAAGCCCATTCATCTCCTTCAGCATCCCAAAGATGAAGCACATGTTCTGCTTAGCTAGGTAATAAAGTAGCACACACGCTGCACCGCTGACATCACAGGACAGTTGCCTGTAAAACTAGACTTCTGACGCCGGGCCCCAGCTTCACTTTCTCACCGATCATCGTCCTCATCCGGGAGGGCAGTCGTCTGAGCTCTCAGCAACCTCTAAATCGTGCTCATACTGAGCCGCCAAAGCCGGGTCCATGACAACCTCTGGGGGGCAAGGGCAGGCATGGCGACAAACTCAAGTCAGGGTCTCCGATGAGCGTTCGAGCGAGCCAGAGGAAAGGCTTTTCAAAGTTGTAGTCACTTCTGGCAGAAATGTCATGGTACTGAAGATTCTTCTTTCGGTGGAAGACAATAGATTTTGCCTTCACTTTCCTGTCTTTAATATCCACTTTGTTGCCACACAACACAATGGGGGTGTTCTCACAAACTGGAAGGCGATCTCTGTGCCAGCTGGGCACGTTCTAAGTAACTCCTGATGTTACATCAAACACTGCACCGGCACGCTGGGCTTGGACGTAGTAGCCGTCTCTCCGGCCGCCGAACTCTCCTGGCCGGCCGGGTCCCACACGTTGACCTTGATGGGCCCCTGTTGGTGTGGAACACCCGCGCGGGGACCTCGACGCCCAAGGTGGCTACGTACTTCTTCTCGAACTCGCCCGTCAGGTGACCTTCACGAACGTCGTCTTCCCGGTGCCACCATCGCCCACCAGGACGAGCTTGAACTGGCCCTGGGGCTCTCCCAGCGCGGCCATCGCGGCCATCCTTCCAGAAGCGTCTCCGCGCCTGCCCGACTGAGGCTGGAAAGATGGCGGAAGCGCTTGCTCTTCTTTTAACACTTAATCTCTTAATCTCTGCTTTCAATAGAGGTGTTTAGCCCTCTATTTTAGTGGATTACTGATATGGTTATGTTTACATCTATTTACTTGATATTGCTTTTTATTCCATCTGTTCTTTATTTCCTTTTTGGGAATGAGATTTTTTTCAGTGGTAGTGAGGTTTGCACTCAGGGTCTTATGCTTGGTAGGCAGGCACTTACCACCTAAGCCATGCCCCCAGCCCTTTTTACCTTGGTTATTTTTCAGATAGGCTTTCACATTTATGTCTAGGCCAGCTTGAACCTCAACCCTCCTATTTACACTTCCCGTGTAGCTAGGATGATAGGTATAAACCACCATGCCAGGCTTGTTGGTTGAGATGGAGCATTGCTAACTTTGCCTGGGCTGGCCTTGAACCACAATCCTCCCAATCTCCACCTCTCAAGTAGCAAGGATTACAGGTGTGGGTCACCACACCTGGCCTAGATTGAGAATTTTTCATGATTCCATTTATCTCCTTTGTTGGCTATCATTGTAACTCTTTACTGTGTTATTTTAGTGATTGCTTAGGGTTAATGTATGTATGTTTAATC